AAAGGGGGTTATATAGGGGATGATATGGGGGACTACAAAAGGGGTTATTAAGGGGGATACTAGGAGTCTAGACTATAGCTCATGTGTTTCCGAAACAGTTTGCAAGTGTAGGGTTGGTTGTCTAGGTGGGCTCGTCGCCTGTCTTAGTCTGGGATTTGAGAGAACCTCCTTCCATGGTGGCATCGGCTGGTGTAGCAGGGTTAGCTCGTTTTTCTGCAAGAAAGGACTGAGTGAAATGCTCCGCACTTGTCCAGCCACCAATTCTTCGCTCAATTGTTCCGCGTGCGTTTGTCATTGGGTTTCAAGCTGACATTCGCGGACTAGCTGCAAGCAGGCTCCGCTTACATCCGCTCAGGAATGCTACTGTCGGGAAGTCATTAGAGTTGCCATTTGCTCGCAGTGCTATGTGGTCTAAGATTCATGGGCTTGGGGCCTCAGAACTTCAGGGTGTTATGGGGCATCCAGCTTGCCAGCGCAGGACGCAACGTTTCTGTTGTCCTTGATTGGGATGTCTTGCCCTCGGACTGTAGCGTGCATCAGCCTGGTATCCCTGGACTGTCAAGACACTAGCGTATGTGTTCGGAAATGATCGAAAGAGAAAGTTGTGTTCAGACCATGAGCCAGGGGACTTCCTGTTGTATTGTCTACATGAATTCTTTTTCAACGGCACGCTGTAGAAGTGTCAAATGAGTAATAGTATCTTATTTGAGGATACGATAGTCCCCCACAGAAAGTAAAATGACATGCGTATTTTCTGCATGGTGTTTCATAAGAGGAATATGCTCTGATTAGGCCCCGCAGCCAAAAAACTCCACATAATCTCCTCCCGCTCATGTTACAACCACCCGCCTCGCTAGTGCCAGATAATCTCCTTGCGGCATATTTTAATATGTAGGTAATGTTTAATATTAGGGGAGTAGGGGGTTGTAACAGTAGGGGGGATCAATCTCTATATAACCCATGCACAAACCTGGTTTCCATTTCATGCTCCATTTGTTTTCCATTGATTCTCCATTATTGGGATAATATCCCTAGGTCCTACACCCCTATAGCTCATACAACTAACCCAGTGTAAACCCAATATTTACCCCATTAGAATATGGCAGCTTCCATATTCTTCCTATTTAACACCTATCCTCTTTCCATTCTTCCTAGTTAATCCGTACCTAAACCCTAGAGCCTAAGCAGTAGTTTCCATCATCTTCACAATTTTTCTTATATAACCTCTGTATACTGTCTGGGGACCCTAAACCCAAACCCTAAACCCTAAACCCTTAGCCCTAAAGCCTAAACCCTCAACCATTGGAAAAAAGGTCCGAAGAAAAAACAACTAAACCCCTAATCCTAGCAGGCCTCAAGTCATCCAAAACTCTCATCTGCTTGCCGGTGTTTCCGCTAAGGCTGGGGAAGAGAACGACTGCGTGTTCATAGGCCAAGCCCCAGACGTTTGGGGGTCAGGGCTTAGGGTTTAGGGGTAGAGTAGATTTGCCTGGAGCCGCACTCAAGTTCTTGCAGCTGTTTGCAACGTTTGCATTTGACAGATGATGCAGATTTAGCTTTGTTGCCTTTTCTCGCTTCACAAGGCGTCACGCTGCCTTTGACACCTAGTGCAGGGCTGCCAGTTGTACCCGGCATGTGGCTCCGGCCCAACGGATCTCTGCTTTAAGCAATCCTAAAACCAACACGGCAAACAACTGCTTTTTGCCTAGGATCTCCTGATGCCGAAGTCAGCGTTGATAAATCTTGAAGGTAATTACAGCTCTGTTAACTTAAGTGCAGCTCAGGGCGTTTCTAGCCAGAACTTTTACCCTAGACCCGAAGCCCTAAATCTTACTGGGTTCACACCCAGACGCACACCTTCAATTGATGCACTCGATCAGGTTGGGAGTTGCAGCTCCGCCCCTTCCAGGGCGACTGGTTCTTGGCCGAGGAATGTGCCTCGCCGCAACATTGCATGGCCTAGTCATGTAGCAATATGGAAGAACAGATATAGTAATAGCCATAGTAGTAGTAATAGTCATAGTAATAGCAACAGTAATAGTAATAGTAATAGCAAAGGTAATGGTAATATTAATAGTCATAGTAATAGCAAAAGTATTAGTAATGGTAATAGTCATAGTAATAGCAACAGTAGTAGTAATAGTTTAGTAATAGCAATAGTAATAGTAATAGTACCAGTAATAGTAATAGCAATATAATGGTATTTTGGATCCCGGATTGCAGGTTCCACGCTGAGCATACCCATGTTACTCACTGCCCGTACTACGCTTGCCGAGGGACCATCTTCGGTGGACGTGGGTGCAACTGAGTTTAGGGTTTAGGGGTTTCGGGTTTAGGGTTTAGGGGTTTAGGGGTTTAGGGTTTAGGGGTTTAGGGGGTTAGGGCTTAGGGGTTTAGGGGGTTAGGGTTTAGGGGTTTTCCTTGAGCGTCAGATGTGAAGTAACGTTGTCGTGTTTAATTACTACATATACCCATTATGGTTCTTAATTACTATATACCAATTATGGTTCTTAATTGCTATATATATATATGCATTAAGGTTTTTGATGACTATACATTCCCATTATGGTTCTTAATTACTACATATACCCATTAATTATGGTGACTTAATTTATGTTCCTTAACAGCAGCCGAGAATTGGTGTTGCCAAAGGGGCGTTTGCTTGAAGCCAGTCTGGCCACCATGAAGAGATGTCCTAAATCCTAAAACCCTAAGTTGAAAAGCACGTCTATCCTCCTAGCTGAAAGGGGTTACAACAGTTCCCCCCCCCTCCCCCCCGGTTTATGGAGCTATTAAGCACGATAAATAGTGTTTAATAAGGCCTACTAGTTCTTTTTTTGGGGGGGGGGGGGGTGTGTGTACCTTTGGGTGGGATACTATCATAATCACTTAAGCTGTTAGGATTATATAGGGCTTAATAAAGCCTAGTAGTTTTTTTTGGGGGCTTAAGGGATTAATCCCTAAACCCTAAACCCCTAAACCCTAAACCCTAAACCCTTGAGGCATCAGCTCCCTTCACGCCGATGTGAACTGCACAGTCACAGAAGGCCGGCTCTGTCTGTCCAGACACAAAGACCTGGATCGGCCTTTGGGATACTTAAAGCGGATTAGGGTTTAGGGTTTAGGGTTTAGGTTTTCCTTCATTAGACTATGGGATAATAGTAGGGTAATATTAGGGCAATATTGGGGTTCTATAGGGATAATGGAAAAGAAGATGGAAACTACTATTTACTGTAGGGTTTAGGGTTTAGGGTTTAATAAGGACCCTATACACTCATATTTTTCAAAGGGTTCCAAAGGCCAACCAAGAGACAACCAGCTTGGTAAGTTTGTGGATCTGAAGGCCTCCAGTCGCAAACCAAGTATGACACCAGGGTCGAGATCTCAGCGGGGTAACATCAGGATTCACCAGAAAATCAGTGCAACATGGAATTTGGCTGCGAGAGTTCTCATACTTGGCAGGGATGCACAGTAGCTGCTACTTCTGGGCAATGCGTGTGCTAACAGTTTTGTGCATCTGCCTTTGAGTTCATTTTGCATGAAGTGAAGTGGTGACCCAAGAGGGGACCTGCGGCTTGATTGGGTGGCTGAGGTTCGAGCCTACTGCCTGGACCCCTTGGCCAAGGGAAACTGGACAGAGGTTCTTGGTTTGGTCGGAACCTCAATAGTAGGCAAAAGCAAGGCACTTCGCCAAATTAGACACGTACAGGATCTGCTCACGAGCAGCAACATGTGTTTTGGACATTGAGCTGAGCTGTGTGCTACATCAGATGCCTGCTGCAGCAGCTGTGGCAGTAGCAGCCGTGATAATTGTCCATGGTAATGTGCAAATCCTAGACCCTACAAATCCTTACAATATCCTCCCATACCCCGTATTTTCCCCATAAGCCTAAACCCTAAACCCTAAACCCGTATGGTCCCTAAACCCTTAACCCTCTGAGTTCACAACTCCGGCAATTCCAGCTGACCGGCCTCTGGTGGGCCACAGCCTCACGATTTCTTTCTGTGGAGCAACAGTGAGGATGTTATGATAAGTTAAACTACATTATGCTTTCGCTTGTTCATAATACCTTTACGATTCTAGTATATTTCGTTCTATTCTACAGTATATCCGTTTGGGAGGCCGCAGAGGATCTAAGAAGTTCGACAGCAGCCTGATAATGAGATAGCTCTGGCTGTCGGAGGAGATGCAGGAGTTGAGTGACATTTTCTGCTGCTGAGGTCTGGAGACTCTTGGCCCGTCTTACTCTCAGCTGGTCGTTTCTCAATTCCCCCTTCAGTTGTGTCGGATGCAGTCGCGTGGACAAGGCGTCAGATGAAGTTCTTTTTCGATCCGCAGGCGAGCCAAAGCTTCAGCTGCAGCATGCGGCAAGAAGAAACACAGTCAGTGAAGAACTGTTGCCAGAAGAGTCAACTTTTTCTTTTTTGGGTAGCAGGCCACTTAAACGAGCTATGCCATGCACCTTTCCCGATAGCTCAGCTTTAGATGCATCTGCACTGTTGCAGCAAGTGGCAGCAATCACATCAATGAGCCTCTTTGCTGTAAGGCTTTGTCCTGTGTCTAGCAGCTGTCCAGAATTGATTCAGTGGTGTCTGATAACTTACTGCTTGTTAGTAGGGAATAGACAAACAGATCCCTACGAAAATCCCCACATGATCCTCAAGAATCTAGTAGCTTCCTTTTTTTCTTCTCGCTTTTCCATTCCCTAGCCCATAAATCTTAAGTAATAACTTCCATTTCCTTTTCCATCCTTTCTTTCCTTGCTATCAACCAGCAGGAAAGGCAGCATCTCCATCTCATATCTGTGACTGGTTGTGTTCCTTCAGACAAACATTACCATCCCTGCTGCTGTCGAGTGCAGCTATTGTGTGTCTAAGGCTGTCACATGCAATCCTCAAGTTGTTGCTATGACGCTGAGAACCCTAAGCCCTATACCCTGAACCCTATACCCTAAACCCTAAACCCCGTGGGTTCCTCAGATCTGCCTCCACAGCAGGAATCGTGGGACTGCTCCTTCGTGGCCTTTGTGGGCGAATTGCGTGAGGCCTGGCTAAGCTCCTTTGCATCCAGTTCAGCAAATGCCGGCTGTAACGTGTATGTGGTAGTTCCCATAAGTAAGGAGCCCCAAAATGGACGTCAATTTTCATCATAATCCTTATTATGGGCATCTCCAACATTCGACATCCCCATATAATGTCATTCCAGGAGCCCTAAACCCTGAAAGAGGGTTTAAGGTTTAGGGTTTAAAGCGTAAACCTTAAAAGAGGGCCTGTCTGGGGGGGGGCTTCTGTGGGACCATCTTGTCGGTTTTACTTTTGATTAGAGTCACTGCAGCTTACAAAGGTGTATGAGCGACAGTCTAAACTCCGTAAAGGGGGGGTTATTTAGGGGATTGGATAGGGGAGTCTTATAGGGGTTCCCAAGGGGGATGCTAGGAGTTTAGACTAGAGCTCACATATTAAGGTTTTGTTTGGACCCTTTTTCTTTGCATCTTGCGCCTGCCAGGCAGACACGGGCGAGGCTGGCCAGTGCAAAAGTGGTTTAGGGTTTAGGGTTTAGGGCAGATGGAACTTGCGCTTCAAACGGATCAACTTACTGGGGTTTAGTAGGGAAGAGGGCAATATATTGGGCTATATAGGGATAATGGAAAAGAACAAGGAAACTACTACATTGCTACAGTATGGGGATGACACTCCCTTATTCCCTACTAACATGTAATAGTGGCAATAAAAAGGAATATAAGAGGACCCTAATACAATGACCATTCTCCCTTACAATCACTATTGCTTGGGTCCACCTACATGCTTCGATGCTTAACTGCCCTTGACACAGATTGTGGACGCTCAGCGCGGTGACAGCGCCTGCAGCTGAGTGCACCAAGCAAGTCTGGCCTACGGGCCCCCATCCGGCAGCATAGTGACGTAGTGGTACTCAACGAGCCGGTGTGCCGTCACAACCAGACTTAAAAGTCCTCGAAAGCCAATTGGTGATGCGAGTTTCTGGATCTTTCATGGCGCTTGGAGCCGCCGCAGTTGCAAGGTTTCGCGTGCCGCCAACGAGACTTTGCTTTGTGTGCCAGCAGAACGAGTTGGTGCACAGTGCGTGCTCACAGGGTGCGGAGCCTACTGTCCTAGTATCAGGCTTTGCTTGCACAAGATGTAGTGAGAACATCATGTGGCAAACTTTGGATCCAAAGTGCCTAGTTGGAAAAGTGCTAAGCAGCTCCGCCAATTGCAATAGTCAGAAAGCTGAAGCCGCCAAAAGTTTTTGAGGTTGATGTCAAACACCACGTACATCGTGACAATCTGCGAGACGTGCAGCAACCCCCAGGCGCGTGAAGATTCGGCTTCCGAAGTGACTTACTGGTTCTTAGTAGGGAATATGGGAATATTATCCCTATAAAGCCTTACGTATATATTATATTCCCATATTCCCTACTAAGAACCAGGAAGGCGACTCTTATGAAATTAATTCTTGCTGAAGCTGTACGCAAGGGCCTCTGGGATTAACGTGGCATGGTTCAATATCCTGCGTGGGTTCTGGACAGTTCCGGAAAACAATAGTGATCGTAATGAATAGCATTGATATTATGTACAAGAATAGCCACACTAGTATGAATATGAATAATTGCAAACATAGAAATATTGATATAGACATATTGAAAAATACAAGAGGCTTACGTTTAATAATGTGAGTAATATTGATAATAAGAACATGAGAATAAAAGTCGAACTACTCATAAAAGCAATATCAGTGATATCAATGATATTCATGCATTTTCTCTGCGCTTTACCCAGGCTGAGGTGTGTGCGGAAGCCATGAACACAACGCTCTCAATGAATCCGGATGCCGTCGGGACAGACTGAGTCTGGGGTTTAGGATTTAGGGTTTTAGTTTAGAGTTTGGGGTTTAGGGTTTAGAGTTCAGGGTTTGCGGTTTAGGGTTTAGAGTTTAGGGTTTGGGGTGTAGGCTCAGAGTTTAGGGTTCGGTGTTTTGTGTTTAGGGCTTATGTACGCATGTGCCCATGGTCCAGCTTGACAAGCCTGCATACTCAACCCTACACCATTAGTAATGTAGTAGTTTCCATTTGCTTTTCCATTCCTGTATGTACCCCATATGGGTGCTTCCCAAAATTCAGGGTACCATTTTGGGGGGGCCCCTATAAAAAGGATTAGAGTATGGGGGGGTCTATATTGGGGTACCCTAATTGCAGGAAGCTACCATCTAACTTCTTTAGGATTGTTTAACATGTCTGTATGTATAACTCAGTCTGAACATGGGCTGCTTGTATCAGATCTGGCAACCCTCGTTTCAGATAGCAACATCGGGGTATGTTGGGGATGGAAAAAGAAGATCCAAAAGGAAACGGACATGGACCATGAAATTGGAACTGGGGTCTAGAGTTTCTGGATCAGGGTTTCCATGAATTAGCGGTCTCTTTGTGAGCGTCCCTATGACAAGGATGATGGTATCTATTGGGGGGGTCACCTGTTCATGGGAAACTACCATACAAGCTATAATCTAAACTCCTAGTATCCACCTGAATAACCCCTGCGGTACTCCTTTATACAATCCCCTATATATACTCCCCCAAGGAGTCTAGACTATGGCCCATATTGTGTGTTCTGAGCGCAGGAATCTTCAGGTAGTCTTCCGCTCCGAGACGCATGCTGAAATCCATTTTGTATCTGGAGATGAGTTTGGCCCTCAGCTGCTACCCTACACCCTACACCCTAAATCCTACACACTACACCCTAAATCCTACACACTAAATCCTACACCCTACACCCTAAATCCTACACCCTACACCCTAAATCCTACACACTACATCCTACATCCTACACTAAATCCTACACCCTACACCCTAAATCCTACACACTACACCCTAAAACCTGTCATATTTATCGGTTTGGTGCAAACTGCCAGATGCTAGGCCCACTCTGTCATACATCATCCGAGGTCGGGTGATTGCAATGCGGCAGGCCTAGCGTGGACGGTTGGGAAACTGCAGCCGCAGTGCGGTAAAGCGTGGTACATCAGCCCATCGTGCCATGCGTGCAGCTGTGGGTGTCTCGAAAGTGCCAGATTGGCTTTTCGAGTACTTCAACGAGTCATGGTCTCTTCCTCAATGCTATGAGTCCTGAGTGAATGTGGATTTTGAGCTGTAGGTGGTAGTTTCGATGTTCTTTGCCATCATCCCCATATAACTCCAAACTGCTATAGCAGTTTCCATTTTCTTTTCCCTTATCCTTTTATATCCTCAATATACAAAAACTAGGCAGCAGTCCAATACAGGCAAGGCTGCGGGAGGCTGCCCAGAGATCCTCATCATGTTTTTTGCAACTACCTTGCTTCGTATTGGCAGCAGCTTGCAATGCTAGGGTGGTGGTGGTGGTGGTGGTGGTGGTGGTGGTGGCGGCGGCGGCGGCGGTGGTGGTGGCGGTGGTGGTGACTCAGTCGTCATTGTTGTTGTTTTCGTCATTCAGCATTTTCATCAACACCGTTGTGATTGCCGCCGGAGTCGTCACCATGTCGCAGAGGAGAAAGTGATAAAGCTTTGGCAGAGATCTTGAAGTCACCCTGAACTGAAGACACATCCTGCAGACTGCCTGCACTTATTTTGACCTGAGGCATTTTGCTGCACTTTGTGACCGCGTGCCTGGTGTGCAAACCCCCCAGCAGCAAGATGCTCAGTCCTTCTCTCTTGCAACAAGGCTGTTGGCCTCACGTCGCACGTCGTTTGCTGATGTGTCGCAAGCGAGCAGGGGCCTGCGTATGTGCCAGGTGCCGTTTAGACCTGCGAATGCTAGATTATGAGAGGGAGTACTGGATGAGGGCCTGGGCCTCAGCGGAAGTGAACGATCTCAGCATAGCGCTGGGTCAACCTAAATCTGAGCGCACGCTTCCCGTGGAACGTGGACGACCAAAGTCCTGTTACGTTACGCGCTCGTCGTGGCTCTATGTGAGGATTTCCCAAAATTAGGGGTACCGTTTTGGGGGTCCCAATAATAGGGACTATGGTATATTGGGGTCTATATTGTGGTCCCCCTATTTTGGGAAACTACCATGTCAACGACAGTGAACGACCTCGTTTGTAAACTAAGCGCGACAGACGGAAGCCCACAAGCTCTTTGTGGAGCGCAAGCATGCGGGTTTCCTCTCCAGCACTTGCGAGCGTTCCGAGAAAAACCATCATATGAAGTTTGGCGGGTGTGACTAAGAGTCCGCTTCCCAGGCATCTGAGAGCGGCAATGTTCATAGAACGTCTGCATGGCAGTGGCATGTAGCATTCAGCCTTGCGGCTGCATGTGGGTGAAGTTAATGCTTCATGCCAAGTTCCAATCCAGGCCATGTGGTAGTTTCCCAAAGTAGGGAGACCCTACTATTTTTCTAAGGTTCCCAAAACGGTACTCCTAATTTTGGGAAGCCACCATATCATATGACAGGGTGTGGCAGGCTGCCAATGCAAAGCCTGAACCTGGGGTTTAGGGTTTAGGGTTTAGGGGCTAGTCTGTGAGCCTACATGTCGACGCGGGCCCCAAAGAACACCTGGCGCTACGCTTTGATTCTTGTTACCTCTGGGAGTTTCCCAAAAATCAGGTGATACGTTTTTGGGGGTCCGTATAATAAGGATTATAGTGCATGGGGGTCTATATTGGGGTCCCCCTATTTTGGGAAACTATTAACTACACCTATATGATCCTTGCATTGATTTAGTTTTCCATTCTCTTGTTCATTTGATTCTTCATTATTACGGAGTTGTGTTGATCAAGATGGTGCAAGGCCATGTGCGGTTTGATCACAAAGTAGGCCCTGGGTCTACTGACCAAAGTGAATGCGCATGCCGGAAGACTTTCGGAAAATACAAGTCCTGCGTGAAAGAGCTGGAGAGATTTGGTAGTTCCCCAAGATTGGGGGACCCAAGTAAGACCCTACTATATTAAGATCCGTATTGTAGGAACCCCCCAGAAGGTACCCCTGGTTGTGGGAAACCTCCCTTCAGAAGCTTAGCAATTGCAAGGCCAAATGGTCGAGCCCATGACAGCAAGCAGCTCACATACTGCTGACACCAAAGCAACGGTTCAGGGTTTAGGGTTCAGGGGTTCAGGGTTTAAGCCCCAGATCCCCTCGACACCGCGCCTGAACAAGACCTCAAGTGGCAGAACGCCTTTCGAGGTCCAGGAGCTATGCACCCGAGAGGGTCTGGAGGTTCCGAAAGTAAACTTCACGCTGCCTGCTTGGGAGGCCTGCTTATTGTTATTGCTATTGTTCTTGCGATTTCTGTTGGCGCATGTACCGCTCTTGCAATGCTGTGCTAGTTTCGGGATCAGGAAGCTGAATCGCTGACAGCACAACTTCGGTAGCAGGTAATAAAGGGCTTAGTCATACTGTTACATCTCACCAGACTTCCGACAAAGCCCCTTGGAGTCCAGATTCCAGGGTTTAGGGTTTAGGGTTTAGGGAATCGCAGCATCCCAACAAGTTTGTTCGAGAATCCATGTTGCTTGATCGGGTCGCATTCATTAGCTATGTGGAAAATTTTACGGTAGCTCATGTAAGCCCTATACCCTAATCCCTATATCATACCAGTTTCCATGTTGTTTGCCATTTTCTTCTCCAGCTGATTCTCCATCATTTGGCGTACTATCCCTAATCCCTATATAGCCCCTATGTAACCCCTATACAACCCCTATATGGGTGGTTGTCAACATTTATGGTCCCTTTTTGGATCTCTATCATAATACGGCACCTAATATTTAGGGTACCCAAAAAGGGGCCATAATTTTGACAACCACCTATATAGACCCTATGTAACCCCTATACAACCGCTGTACAAGCCCTGTATAACTTTAAGGAAAGCTTTAGGACTGCATTTATGCAAGCTGCTTGGGAGGCGGAGAGCAGCATTTTCCAGGCCATGACCAGAGCCCATGCTTGCTTTAGGGCTTAATATAGGGGTTATATGGGGATAATGGAAAAGAAAATGGAAACTACTATTTAGGGTTAGGGGTTTGGGTTTTGGGGTTTGGGGTTTAGGCTTATAGTTCCCCCTTAAGGTAGATAGAATATGGGGTATATGGAGATCTTATTATAATATGCCCAAAAGCCATATTCTATCTACTTCAGGGGGTTTAGGTTCAGGGCAGGTCCAGGTTTGACGCATTTTTTTACTT